TGCGTGACAAATTAGTTTCAGTGGGCCCCCAGATACCGGTGGGCCCTAGGCCAATGCCCTACTTGGCCTATTGGTAAATCCGGCCCTGCATCCAACTAAGAGTAAAAAACATTGTGTAACAAATTCAACTGCAAGAGCTGAAATGAACAGATACCAGACGTAACTGCAAGCACGTGATGAAAATACTTTAGATTGGTGGAAAACCAATAAGAACATTTCTTCCAACATTAGCAGCCGTTTTCTCAGTTGTTCGCGAGATAGCTTCCACACATGAATGGGTTTATTGAATGTATTACCGAGGCTTCTGACACCAGTTGTACACATCAATGATGCATATGACTGTTGTGAGAGGCCTCGGAAAGGTGTTTAATAAACCCATTTATGTGTGGGAGCTAGTTCCCGTATGTGTTCAAGTAGCTCCCAAATGACTGAGAAAACAGCTGCATGCCTCCTTGCAAACAAGCATCCTTCTTCTCCACCATCATCAGTGGAAAGTAAAAGATTATTCAGCATTGGTGGTAATTTATACACTTCACATCTAAGTCATCTTAATGCTGACACTGGAGAAATACTCATGTTTTTTTATACTACAATTTCAGAATTTTCGACTTTGATTACTGAATTCAATTATGAAACTCAAGCTCTTGTAATTGTTTGTTTAAAACATTTAATTCCAATCTAAGCTTCTGCCATGTTGAAAGGTTCTAGAAAATGTACACGCGCAACAAAAAGTATCGGTGCATACTGTAGTGTGAACAATTTGAGACCAGTGACGATAGGTATTGGGAAAGGCGAGTTGTTCCAGCCGTATGTTGGCAGCCCTGTAATCCTGCTGAGCAGCTACTATGACCTGGTCAAGTGAAACAAACCTTTATAAATAAGGTCGGGAAGTGATAAATAGACAGTATGAAATATGAGGAGCTCCCTGTTAACAAAATTATTTGTGATACTTGTGAATATTGCCACATTAATTTATGCTACCAAATAAACCACTCAACCTGGTCATCCTGAGGGGTGGTGCAGCCTGGATGGCCGCTCCGAGACCTGTCGTCTGTAGCACCAGTTTCGAAGTATCGCCGAATCCATTGTGCAGCGGTGTTCCTGTGGACACCAACCTCTCCGGCTAATATCTGTGATGCCGAACCCTTCGTTATGAAGGGCAATAATAGCTCCTCGTGTTCCCTCTGAGGTTTCCATGTCGTCTGGCATGTGTAGATCTCTACTGCTTCATATTGCCTCTGTTGTATACCCACGTTCACCGAGACCGAACCCTCGCTTGTCATTCAGTCGACACAAAGCAACAATTAGAAACGAGGAAACAAACACACTGATTGTCAGCCATATGGCAACACCTAGTGGAGGAGGGGGGAGGGGTTATGAGGATACACTTACCAACCTTCCCGACATATACGTATCGTTTAGGAAGTCGTCGATCTCACCCTGCACCGATACTTTTTGGTGCGACTGTACCTGTGAATTTTATTATTAGCTGTTCTAGATCACATACTGTTAGTCTACTATAATACATTCTTCAATAATTAGATAAAATTTATTTCTGATAAGCTTTTGTAGTCCAAATACTGCTAGTCTACTACAGTATATTGATTTCAATAATTTGTTAAAATGGAATAAGTTTTGAAAATATACAGCATAGTCTTGTTTTATGCGGTCAATTAAACCCTTGGAGGTCCGCGTATAACGCGAAACGCGAAAACGAAATAACAAAACATATGGGATTACTGTAATTGAAATAGAGACTGGGCCGACCCCCAGACTACCCTTTTTCAGACGCAATACGTACATTGTAGTAAAAATAACATCTTAATTTTATGATGGTATGCACACACAATTAATATATAAGAGAAATATCAATAATATTAGGTTTTTTAACACTTACATTAGTAGAAGAGATGGCTGGGCACACAGGGATGGGGGGCTGGTTCCGAGGCAGAGGGCAGATTAGTGGCCCTCAGGTATATCACTTGTATCACTATCCACCACAGAGGCTAGCAGGGCCTCCGTGTCAAACCCCTCAAAGTCCATATCCTCCCTATCACTATCACTAACTTGGGATGGCTGTGGCGGGTTGCGGGTGAAGAACTCGGTAATGTGGTCGTGATACATCTGGACATACGGCTCCATAGCTTTCAACAGAAGGTTATTTGACACTTCATAGCGATGATTGACTGGGTCTTTGGCAAGGATGAGCTATATTTTCTCATCAAACTCGATGACCTCCTTCACATCACTGCGTGTTAGTTTCTGTTCTTGTTCTTCTGTAACACCTGGCTGTTCACTGACGTCACCATCTTCTAACATCATCTCCGCAGTCACCTCAGGTTGCCTGATTACCTCCAGGATGTCGTCGTTGGTGGTCTCGGAGAAGCCTGCAGCTCTAACACTTTGTGCAGCCTCTCATGCAATGTCCAATGCCACAGCAACAGACTGAGCCCCACCAGCCACCGCTTGACTCTGCCTCCCACCTGGGATACCCTCCAACACATGCCGCCACGCGTGACGAATCGTTGCCATAGACAGCTGCCCCCATGCCTCCACCAAGAAATCAACAGCTTTCTTGACGTTAAACAGTTTCCAGAACTGCTTAACTTGCACTTCATGGTCCGCCAAATCTTGTTCTGGATCCTCGTCCTCGCTCTCGCTATCGGTGCCACTCAGAAGGTTCTGCAATTCATCCTTGGTGTTGGTGAAGTCGTTCAGGAGCCGAAACTTCTTTGCGGAGAAAGCAGCCTTGACGTTGCATATCAACTCCTGATCCATGGGCTGGATTAACGACGTAGTGTTAGGGGGAAGGAAGACCACTTTTACATTGGGGTGATGATCCAGCAATAGGGGCGAGTGTCCTGGTGTGTTGTCAAGGAGCAACAAAATGTTGAATGGAACATTATGATGCTCGCAGAATTTCTTCACATCAGGAACGAAACAGTTGTCAAACCAGGAGAGGGACAGACCAGTGAACATCCACACCTTCCCTGAGGTTAGCCAATGGACATTTAACTTGCTCATGTCCATATTTTTGTAGGCATGCGGCTTGCAGGCTTTGTGGATCACAGACAACTTCAGCTTACAAGTGCAGGAGGCATTGGTGGTGAACAGGACGGTGATGCGCTCCTTCTGCAACTTCCGGCCCCGACACTTGCTCGCAGACTTGACTACGAAGGTCTTGGATGGCAATTTCTTCCAAAACAACCCGGATTCATCCATGTTGAACACTTGGTCGTCGGTATACTGTCCTCCCTCCATAATTTCTCCTAAGAATGGGGGAAAATTCATGGCAGCAGCCCGGTCAGCACTTGCTCCTTCACCAACAATTTCAACGTTCGTGATCTTATAATGACGTTTGAAACCTTGCAGCCACCCAGCGGAAGCAGTGAAGGGTTTGCGCTCTGCAACTCCCATTTTTCTCGCCACTGATAGGTACAGTTCTCTCGCGTAGTTCTGCACTGCCCGAGTGTCGACCACCATGTTCCTACTTGACTGACGAATCAAGTACCTGACCAATAAACTTTCAGTCTTGAGCAGCACCTTATTGTGGCAATATTTCACCATCAACGCACCTGCAGACTTTGTGATGCTCATGTGCTCTTTGATCTTGCCGGCATCTTTCTTGATGGTGCGAATCGTCGATTCATTCACTCCATGTTGTCGGGCGAGATCCACCTGCCCCGTGCCTTTCTCTGACTCCTGGACGATTTTGGACTTATTTTCATAGCTTAAGGCGCGTCGCACCTTCTTGGGCTTGGGGCAGCTTGGGCCAGGTAGTTCAAGGTTTCTCTGGGGTGGTGGAGGTCCAGCAGAAGCCATTGTTGAGCAGATTAGCGGGCATGAGGGAGCACTGTATACACGGAGACGGAGGACAATGGGACTGACGCATCTAAGGTCAGCGACTTATTCCCTCTGGTGGCATGGCACGCCAAGTTAAATTAGACCAATCACAGCTCGTGGCGGAGGAGATGTGTGGGTGGTAAGGATGCATGGCCCAAGCACCAGTAACTGAAGTTTTAAATGACAATGTATGAGAGAGCCTCTGCGTGAAATGCTTGCTCACCGTAAAGAGTGATTGCCATCCTATGACTTAATTTAAATTTACTTGATCCATTGCAAACTCAAAAACTGATTACAGTAGACCCTTGCCATTTGCGGGTTTGAGACTCAAGATTTTGATGATTCGCGGTAAATAGACGGCGGCTATGGTGGCGAGCTTACGAGCCTTTTCCTGCACCGCATCGAGTCACCCCATGCGTCCGCGGCGTCTAATCTTCCTCTGTTCGCGCTCACCCAGGAGATGTGACCCAGCATCTTGTATTGTACACTACTCTCAAAACTTTTGTGTTTCTGTGTGAAAATAGCCCATAAAAGGCAAAAGTCAGTGATGACCCAGACAAAAAAAGTAAAATTATTAGACAAGACAAAAGGAGGGGACGAGTGCTGCCGCGGTTGGTCGGTTGTTTGATGTGAACGAATCTACAGTGCAGTATATAAAGAAAAATGAACAAGCAATTCGGGATACTGTTCAAGCGAGTGCTCCTGCAAGTGCTAAAGTGGCGCAGGTTGTTTGTGACAAGAACATAGTGAAAATAGAGAAAGCACTAAACATTTGGATTGAGGAACAGCACCGCAAAAATATTCCGATCGACAGCAACGTGATTCGTGAGAAAGCTAAATGTCTTTATGCTCATTTTTAGTGCCAGTAAAGGGTGGCTCGAGAATTTTGAGAAAAGATTCTCTTTCCATAATGTGAAGCTGACTGGGAAGGCCGCATCACCTGACCACACAGCTGCAGATACATTTCCCGCCAAGTTAAAGAAAATAATAGAAGAGAAAGGCTATAGACCAGAGCAAGTTTGATGCCGATGAATCCAGTCTATATTGGAAAAAAATGCCTGGTAGAACGTACATAAAGAAGCAGGAGAGGCGTGCCCCTGGGTTCAAGGCAGCCAAGGACAGTGACGCTCATCTTCTGTGGCAGTGCAGCTAGCCACATGATCAAACCTGGTTTGCTTTATCGCTCAGCAAACCCAAGAGGTTTAAAGGGTAAAAACAAGAACCCTTTGCCAGTTTTTTGGCAATCCAACAAAAAGGCATGGCTAACTGTGCAAGCATTCCTGGATTGGTTCCAGAAATGCTTCATCCCAGAAGTGGAAAAGTACCTTGCTTACAAAAACATGGAATTCAAGGTGCCATTATTGATAGATAATGCACAAGGCCAAGCAGAATGTTTGCAGTTTAGACATCCGGGTGTAGAGGTGGTTTTCCTACCCTCTAACACCACTGCTGTTATTCAGCCTCTCGATCAGGGTGTAATACGCACCTTCAAGGTATATTACACCCGATGCTCTTTTGGTCATATCCGTAGTGCCATGGATGCAGACCCCGACCTTGATGTTAGCAAGTGTTGGAAGGAGAACAGCATTGCGCACTGCCTTACCAGCATCAGTGAAGCATTCAATGAACTCGAACCAGATACAGAGAATGCTTGTTGGAAAACTTTATGGCCCGAGTGTGTGAATAACGTCCATAATAAAGTACAGTGATCCCTCGGTTAACGAGCGCCTCGGTTAACGAGATTTCGGTTAACGATTTACCTTCCATAAGATTCTTAACTTCGGTTAACGAGCAATCCCTTGATTAACGAGTTTTTTACGAGACGACTGCAACATGTTTTCGCTTGCATTTGGCGGTCCACCAGCTGTAGTATTAGTCCACCAATACAATAATCGGTTTTAGGGCTTAAATTCCTTACTATTTTAGTAAATATCAAGAAGTTTATACTATTCAATAATTTTAAAAGTTTAATATTAACTTTCTTAGTCATTTTAACAATTATTGAACATAATTGAAGGTAAAGAAACTAGTTTCTGGCATGCCATCCAGCCTGTTACCACACCAGACAGGCGTTAGTCTCTCTCTGTTTTCAGTGGAGGTAACATCTTGCTTGAGACTCTCTTCAACTGAATGCTTTTTTGCTGTGTTTCCAAGCAAATTATTGGTCATTTTGAAATTTATTTTACATATTGACAATATATAATGCAGTGCAGTGTTGATTTAAAAAAAATAATCTTGAATTAGACCAAGAGAACTAAAATTTTATGGGTGAAATGGTGCCATGGGGTGACTTCTCTTCCACCCCAATGCCTTCTCTTCTCCCTTCTCCTCCACCCCAATTCTAATTCCCATCACCATCATCATCATCATCCAGGAGCCTTCATCATACACACCTCAAAGTATGTGTACTTTTCTACCTTTTTTGTTGAATTTAGGCAATTTTCGGTGAGCTGGAACCAATTACCCAAAAACCCATTGAAACAATGGTTTTGGTTAACTAGCAACCTGCTGGAACAGATTGTGCTCGTTAACCGAGGGACCACTGTATGTGAATGACATTGTGAGTGTTGCACGTCAATAGCGTGGTGAGGGGTTTGTGGACTTGGTCGCTGAAGATGTGGAAGAGCTGATTGATGGGCATGGAAAGAAACTAACAGAAGAGGATTTAGAAGAGTTGGTAAAAAGTGCCGAAGAAGATGAAGAGGAAGACATTATGGAATTGCAACAAGAAGGTTTGGGTTTTGGAAAATTTTGTTGAACTATTTTGACATGTGAAGGTGGTAACTGATTTCATTGTTGACCACAACCCTTCCATGGAACATGGCCTTAAGATGGTCCAAGAAATCAACCAGGTATTGTTTCCCTACCAGGAAATGTTTAAAGTCCTCAAAGCAAAGAGGAAACAACTACCAATCACAATGTTTTTCAAGAAAGAACCAACCGCTAGCCCAGCTGATTCGTTTCCCTCCCTCACTCAGTCAGCTGCTGCCACCACCACTCCACCCTTCTCCTCCCAGCCACCCACCACCTCACCACCCGCCTCCCGGCAGCGCGCCTCTCCACCACCCGCCTCTCCATCAACCACCACTGCATCACTCTCTTCCAACAGTGTTCTTCAAGATCCCCTTATGCTTCAGTCACCAGATGTCTCCCTATGTACAGCGCACCACTTCATTAAGCTCCAAACGTCCACATACAAATGTAAGTAGTATTGGTGACTAAAGTTTCTCATACACATTATAGGTATATAGTAGTGCACTAAGATAGTATAAGTTACTATTTACATTTTTGCCAATTCGTGCCATTCCTTAGAACCTAATCCTAGCGAATAGCAAGGGTTTACTGTACTGTACTTCCTTATAAAACCGAGGTGTGTTCCACCGAAAATGTGACATAAGCACATACTGTACACAGTGTTACGCCGTCTCTTAATTTACTTTAATATCCAGGTTCTAGGCATAACCAAATAAAAAGAAAAGTGAAGTAAATCAAAAGGGAATAAAAATAAATAAAGTAAACCTTTAAGAATTTAATTAAATAAAATACTAACACAATAAAGAGCCTCGTAGGCTGTCACAACAAATTGATTCACTATCGAAACTTTTAAGACAAAAATGATACTAAAACATCGAAAAATCAAAAGAACTGCTTAAACATATAGAATAAAAATAAAGCACTGGATTACGTGAACACGGCATAAACATATAAAATAACTAACATTGAAATTAACAATCGTGAAACAACACTGAATTACTTAAATGTAACTACGCAAACAATGATGGACACATAAGAGACATGAATAGGTACTCACATAGATATACCACATTGGTGGCGACAGGAACAACACAGAAATAAAATATAAGTAACAGGTGACGGGTGTCACTCAAAAGAACGTGAACTGAATGACAAGAGGACTGGACTGGACTCCGTCTGCTGGTGGAGTACTATATATAGGGTCGGCTCCCGCCAATGCGACACGCCGGTGAAACATGGGTCGTTTAACGATGCAGATGGTCGTTAGAGAAACAAAGAATGCTTGTTACAATACTATATGAAGAAATAAGATGGGCTTGAACAAATAATTACAGTTAAAACCTTAACAGCACAGGGTAAGGTGACTAGATTATATAATAGTAAATATAACACATCATTACAGGAATAATATGGAACAACATGGAAGCATGTTATAAAAAATAATAGAAAAATACGACACGGTCGTAACAACAGGTACTCCTTGACTTACGACCTACTCGACTTACGACCACCCGGACACACGACCGCCGCAGTCGTATAATTTTTTTTCAAATTACTGTACATACGTATTTTCTAGTACAGAAACGTTTCCATCCCATACGACAGCGTGGCGTGGGCTGGGCCACCTCGTGGTGTACAGCATCCATGCTGTAGCCCGCTCAGTTGGTGTTTGGCCATCAATGGTGTTAGTGATAGCGCTGTGTACTGTACTGACAAAATTTTTGTTTATAATTCCCTTTAATATAATTGGCAAACATAAAAGTGAGAGTTCTGGTGGTGCTCAGAAGAAAAAGAGACAGTCAATTACTTTTGAGATGAAAATGAAAATAATAATGTAATATGAAAATGAAAAACTGTAGCAACCATTTCACGCGACCTTGACTTCTCTCACTCGACAATATCAACGATTTTGAAGGACAAGTCAGAAGCATTTGCTACTATTAATAAGGGGATGCAAATGTTTGAAGAAGTGAATCAAAATGTTGAGCGTTTTGCAAAAGTTGACAGACAGATCCAATTTGCACTTGCTTGCTACAGGGAGATTTACAATGAAAAAAAGGCAAACTGTGTAGTCTAAATTGGACATATTTTTTTTAAGAAGTCCCCCCCACTGCTGTCTCCTCACACCCCACCACTGCTGCCTCTTCACTCCCTAAAGATGATCCAATACCTTCAACAAGCAAGTATGTTAGCCTGTCTGAAGAAAGCGAAATTGATGACCCACCCAGCCCTGTCTCCTCCTCTGCTTCATCCAATTAATGTAGTCTCCATGCTTAATTAAAAAATTATTGAGGCCTCGTGTGCATTCAGCTGACTACATTAAAGATAAGTGCACAGTAATACTTTATTAATTTTTCATTATTGATTACCTTTACTGTACCATATTTCATTTTAGATTTTCTATGTATTATTTTCGCATTTTTGACTTACGTCATGGTCGTCGGTCCCTAACCCCATCGTAAGTCGAGGACTGACTATATGTATGAAAATAGACAGTTTTAAACAAATACAACGAGTCATGCATGATGTAACATTATAATACTGTAAATGAACAAAACACTCAAATTTTACTTATCAGAAATGATGATGAGTGATGCAGGAGGTGGTGAGGTGAGGTTGTGGGATCAGTTACCTTAAAACATCCAGTTTAATGTCCAATGCTATTTCTTTATGGAATCTTTTATCACCATTGCTTTCACATGAACTAAATTGTCTTTTTCCACTCATCTTGAATGAGGGTACACAGTAACAAAGATACATAACTGAGCACAAACTGGGGAAATAATTCAAACTGAGTAGTGCCATTGTTGTTGTGGGCCAGCTATCAGCTGATGAGGAGAGCTGCCCGGCAGCCATCTTGTAGCTACCACCAGAATCCACAAGAAATAAATTTCATAATTTCAGTGAATTTTTTTTGTTCTATATCAAGATTTTTTTCTTTGGAAGATCTTCATAAATTAACCATAATTCATATGGGCAAATACAGTCCTAAACAAAGACACATAACTGAACACAAGCTGTGGAAAGAATTCTTACTGAGGAGCACAATTGTTGTGGTGGTTGCTGACAACTGGGAGGCGAGTGGCCTTCCAGCCACCTTATGGCTGCCACAGAGAATCCACATGAAATAATTTTTATAATTTAGGTAAATATTTGGGTTAAAAATTGTGATTTTTTCTTTTTGTTAAAATTTTACCAAAATTTCCTAAGGGCGAATTTTTTCTGTAACCCGAAATTATGGTAATACAGTGAACCCTCAATAACTCAGCATTTGATAACTCAGAATTTCATATAACTCGACATGGATATGGTCTCGGAGTGTATTAGTATAACTAGGGAAATCCGAGATATTTAAAATTATCTGGGAAAATCTCAGCATATCTGGCTACCTGCAACACCTATCATGCCTCTGTGTCACCTACCACACCTGTGTCACCTACCATGCATCTGAGTCACCTACTATGATGCTTCATTCTTTGCCTGTAGTGCTGGTAAGTGTTACTTTATTACATTTAGTAATTACATGTACACATACTATATGGGGCGATAATTTTTTATTGTTGTATTTTTGTAGGAGGGGGGAAGTGCCTCGATAAATCGGAATTTGGGATAACTCGGCAAGGCCAGAGCCTCATATGTGCTGAGTTATTGAGGGTTTACTGTAATTTCAAAATTACATAAGGGCAAAATTCTGTATATAGAGATCGAGTGACTGATTGATTGATTGATGGTGGTAATTACATTCCTGGTGACTTAACAGCTTAGGGCATATGTCGCCGAATTAAAATAAAGGCTTAAAAGACTAAAATCAAATAATGCAAGGTAAAAAACATTAGGAATAAATAACATAAAAATTTCGTAAAAACCATTCAATCGTTAATAGATAAAACTCAAAGTTTGTGTAGAAGGCCGGCTTCCTTCACGAAGGAGAGGACGTCCCCTCCCACACTAATCCCCCCCCCACACCAAAGAGAGATGGTAGGATCCGTCTTCCCTCAGGCACTGGAAAAGGAGCTTATGACGAAGATCTCTGAGACTGAGGCACGACACCCGGAGATGCTGAACAGTCAGCCATGTGTGGCCAATGTGGAGGTGGGCTGAAGCAGTCTCCAAGCAGTGCAACAGCCCCTGATATCCCCATACACCCAATGCATGGTGGATGTTGCAGAACTTGTCTGTTCCAACAACATCCCACCTGCATTGCCAACCTGACCAGATGACAGCTCTTACAACATGGGGGATTCCTGTATTATGAAATTGCATAGATCAAGACCCAAATAAACTGCATTTCTAAAAAAAGTTATCTGTTTTTTAAACAGACAGTAGTAATTAGGTTTTCCCATAATTACACATTAAAGGTTTAGACAAATGAACTTATCACCTAATATAAGATCCCTTCTCCTCTGGTGAAATTGAATTTAGAGAGGTCCAGAAGTGGTGGGTGCACATGCCGTGGTAGCACAGTGTAGTAGTGTGGGTTGACTCACAAGGTCAAACTTGCCTTGCCATCCTGCTACAGATAACAATTCAAACCCCCTATGATAAAAAATTTAATTCCAAAAGCTACAGCTGTGATATTGCAGGGATTTACTGTACAAGATTTACAAAAATTATTGGGCATCTGTGAGTTAAAGATTATCTTTACAGTACTTACATTATAACCTTCTTGAGTTACAAATGTTCTATTGAAACAATGTGGGCACTTGAACTCAACTTGCTCCCCTTCCTTTTCAACTTCAATAATACCTGCAAAAGAAAGGTTTTATATGAAAACATTATGCATGTATACTGTATAGCATTAGAGAACAGGAGAAGAATTTGGGCAAAATTAATAAATAAGAGGATATAAAAATAAAAAAATGGAATGAGCTTGTGAAACTTTTCAGTGGCAAAAAAAAAAAAACATCATAAGAAACATTTGGTGAAATTTTCCATGCTGGAGTGGGTTTGCTGTGATTACCTGATGGCAGCTCTCCATGCTGCTTCTTTTCAGGTTCTTACTCT